ATCCCAATTCCCAAACACTTGCTGCATACAAAAGAGTTGATGTGGCAATTGAGTCGAATAGCTTTTTTCTTGAATCCCAGGCTTCTGCTTTTGTAGAAATTAAAGATTTCCATATTGTTCCTAACGCTATTTTGCCTTGCTCACAAAATAATCTGCTGCCCTTGAGAAATTTCCCGATTTGTGAAAAAGAGTACCTAAATAAATATACTCATCTACGATCTCAATCCTTTTTTTATCATATTTAAATCCAACATTTAATTTTCTTTTTCCGCCTTTTTGGAAGACTATAATCTTTGTTTTTCCCGTGTTCACCATCAATTTATTTAATACGCAGTATTCATTTAAAGTGTTTAATTTCCTTTGCAGATTAGCACTTGATTCTCCTGATAATGTAAGGTCGTCAGCAAAAAGAAGTATTGCCCCATTAATTCCCACATTTTTAAAAGGACTCTTTTCAAAAAAATCTAGAATGTCGTGAAGAGTATGAAAATGAAGAAGTAAATGAAAAGTATGAATAATACTGAACTCAGTGAATCGCTTTGTAGAACTCCCATAGTTATTTTTATTTCCTTTGTATATTGACCATCATTTAATTTAACCTTCATCCTTGCATTTTCGTATATAGTTCTGATAACCTTTATAGTTTGTCCGCTCATTCTCATCTTATACAGCTTTCGCCTCAGTAACTCATGGTTCACGGAATCAAAGGCCCTTTTAAAATCAACTAAAGCAGTGTAAAGCTTACCTCCTACATTTGAGATAATTAAACATATTTTTGCTTGTAGTACAAAAATATTGTCTTCGCACGATCGTTCCTCACGAAAACCAGCTTGTCCCTCTGGAAGAATTCCACTTCTCTCTGCACATATACCAATACTTCTGACTAGGATAGTAGTAAAAAATTTCAATATTGTTTTAGCAAGTGTGATACCTCTATAATTCAGTATATTATTCCTATCGCCCTTCTTGTACAGTAAGAATTGCACAAAACTACTCCAACTTTCCGGAACATTCCTAGAATTTAAAACTTGATTAAATTTTGCCATTAAATACTTTTAACATTTATAGGTAGTGATTTGTAGAACTCATTAGTGATGCCATCTTCCCTCGGTGCCTTGTTAGCTTTCAGTTTTCTAAGTGTTAAGTTTAGTTCATATAGAGTAATATCATTATCCAGGTATCGGTTTCTTACATCTATGTAGTCTTCATTTATAATTATTCTTGGTGGGAAAATATTTTCGTAAAATTCAAGAATTTTTTCACTACTAAGATCACAAAATCTTCCATTCCCTCTTTTATTTCTAAATGTCCTGACCACCTCCCAAAATTCGGATATTTTCTTTACATTATTAATGCGCAATCTCAATCACTCCATTAATCTTCTTTTTTTCAAATCGCAACTTATCTTTATATTCTCCCATTTTGTCAACGTAATTTTTTCTAGAACCGTCTGAATTCGTTTTTACAAACTGTCTATACATTTTTCTTACTTCCTGTTTCCTTTGTTTACATTCCTTAGTAAACCAGGGTTTGTCTCTAACTTGGGATTTTCTTTTTCCTCCAATAACTTTGACAATTTCTAACTCTGATACAGTTTTCGTAATAAGTTCAATGACAGTTTCAAACTTAATTTCTTTGGATTCCTCCTAGTATGTTTTAATTTTATCCTTAATATCCATTGCATATCTATTACGTTTTTCATTTTCCCAACAAAATTTTATTACCAGTACTGATTCATTTCCTTATCTTACAACCTCTTAATTTTCAATTTTCTTTTCTCTTTCAATTATAACGCTCTGTGCAAGATGGTCTGAAGTATCCAAGTCTATTAGGCTAAACTCTTTTATTTTTTCTAGTCCATTCCAGTCCACCCATGTATAATGTACGGTACTTTTTCCGTTACAATTAATAAAAGAGTAAGCTCCCCTTGAGTCACCCAAAGTTCTCCCATTTACACAACATAACCCATTTTCGCACATCAAATCATATAATAACACTCCGTTACTACATAAATTTTTATCTTCTGAATTTCTTTGATGACTTAAATTTAAATTAACCATCATATCTTCGTCAATATTATTAAGATTTCCGATTCTACAATTAAAATCGCCTGAAATCATTATACCTGCATTATACTTTTCTCTAATTTCCCATAAAAAGTCATTTATCATTAACAATATTTTTTTTATGCAATTTGGACGTACATAAATACATATAAAATCCCATTCATTCCCGTCTACCCACCCTCTAACTGCAATCCATCCCGTACTTACATCTAATATCTCTAGATTTTTTACAACATTTCGATATATTTAAAATTCTTAAAGTTTTGTTTAAATAGTCACCTTAGGTATACCATGTTTCCAAAATACAAATCAAAAAATAATTTTCTAACAACCCGTGTGGAAAAAGCCACGATCTTGCCCTCAAGAGTTCGGGGCCCCCGGCGGGGGCCCATGAGGGCTGATCCATATGGCGAATCCATGAGGGGCAACGTAGGGGCCCCGCATGGATCGCCCTCATGATCGATTAGCAAAATTTTCTAAGTCCAAAATTGAAATATTTTTTTATCACCAAAAAATTAATGTTTATAATGATTCAGAACAACGAAAAACGCGTTTTTAATAAAAATATATTTACACTTTTTTGAGAATAACACTCACACTTATGGCAAAATAAATGAGGGCCATCGTAGGGGCCCGCATGGATCGCCCTCATGGTCGATTAGCAAAATTTTCTAAGTCCAAAATTCAAATATTTTTTCGTCAACAAAAAATGAATGTTTCCAATGATTCAGAACAACGAAAAACGCGTTTTTAATAAAAATATATTTACACTTTTTTTGAAAATTCAACTGAGATGATTCATGATAATAATCATAAAGCATATAATTAATTATATTTTATAAATTGCATTTGATTGGAAAATATAATTTAATATCATAACTTTAACTAAATGATGTTAAGCACTTTTCTTTGTTAGGTATTTTTTAAGTTTAAATAGCATCAAGAAGTTAGCATTCGTTTTGAAGTAGCGTGCGTAGCGTAGTTGGTAAAGCGTTAGACTCATAGTCCGTAGGTCGTAGGTTCGATTCCCCCCATGCGTTAGATTTATTTATTTCTCAGGTTTGCGTTTAATCATTAATTCTATGTATGAATTAATTGGAAAATGAAAATATCCGTTAATAGTATGGATAAATTACATATTTTTTAATATTTTAATTAATTAATTTATTATTACTTTTAATTATATCCGACAGTTAATTAATTAGAACGTTAATTAATAAATTCAATTTGAGTAAGAATTTAATTTAAAATTGAATAATTATTAAATAAATATGTTATTTATTCATAACTTAAGCTTATTTATTATTAATTAACTTTTAATTTTAATATTATTGATTAAAAAACATTATGTCAAACTTGAGGGCAAACGTGAGGGCCCATAAGGGCGCCCTCATGGATCGCCCATGCGGGCGCCCTCATCGACGAGCATGTCGTTTCCATGATGGGCCCCTATGGATCATCCATAGGCACCAGTGACACACAAACGGGCGTGCTATTTGGAAAGCAATGGCACACACATTGAGTTGCAATCTAGCCGGCACGTCGTCCGATCAATCGGACGCGGACGGAACAAGGCGCGCTATTGGCTAGGCGTTTTGTTATCTGGGGTATATTTCATATAAAACAGCTCTGCTTATTTTTTAAAAATATTCTAACGTAACACAACAATTGCAAACACTTCAAAAAAAATTTTCAATAACAAAATACATTCTTCTCTTTCTTAATAATCAAACAATTCCATAATATTGCAATTTCACGTTTTTAATTTATCACTTATATTACCAAAAAGAAATTATAACCATTTTTACTATTCCTTTTTGCAAAAACAAAATTGTTAAAATATTATTTCCTATCGATTTTTCATCTAAAAAAATTATAATATTCTATTGTATAAAATAAAGTAAATAGACACATGGTAAATGAGCTTTTACACTATTTATTGTTTTTCCACACACAAAAATAACTATCACATTTATCACTATTTCACTACTTATTTCAAAGAAAAAGAATTTTATAAATTATTTTTTTTATTCGTGAAGTAATGCATCTCTGCGCGGACATTTGGCATCACCCGTGCTAGATTATCCGCACATTCAATAGCCTTGTTTGACGCCGTAGCTATGTGGTGATGGAAGTTTAACCTTCCATCCAGTTCCACACCAAGGTACTTAATCTGTCTCCTCCACTTGACCTCGAATTCGTCCATCACGATTCGTGGGGATTTATAACTACGTCTGTCTGTGACCAGCAATGCTTTGGTCTTTTCCAGGGCCATTTGAAGACCTCTGGTTTCCAGCCAGCATTTTGCTAGCCGCAGACATTCGTTCACCAATGTACCCAGAGCTTCCGCCGAGTGGGCAGTGCACAAGATCAACGCGTCGTCCGCAAAGCCGACGATCACCGCACCTTCGGGCAGGTCCATTCTCAAGAAGTCATCGTAAGATACATTCCATAAAAATGGTCTAACCCTCGAGTCTTGAGAGACCCTACATGACGTCTTATACATTTTCTCAGCAGAACAGGTACACATTCAGCTGCTGAACATGTACATTTTCTTGTAAAAGATCTTGTACAGAGATTTTTAATAGGGTTGGGTGCAAGAAGGGCGTATAACAAAAAACGACGAACGGAGATATTTCAAGTTAAAGTTTTAATCTTTAATTATTCAAAAACTGTAAATGCTAAATTAAATTTTTTTTTATTCAATTTAAAAATATTTTTAAATCTAATATTACTGTCATTTGTTATCATACATTTCCAGAAATTTCAGCGCAATATTTACGAAATATTTCAAATCTTTTAAAAAAACATTTATGAAATATTTAGGAAATAAGTGCTGTGAGTTTTTTAATAGCATTTTTTGAAGTTAAATTTTTTCATAGACAAATAAATATTTATAATATATATAATAATAGTAGATAAAAAGTAACTTACGATAGAAGTACATTTTTCTTGAATTTGAATGTAATTGTTCAAAGACTGTGCTTGAACCATTTCTAATGATGGATGACTTAGTACTACAAATGACTCAGAAGGTGTTGAATCCTTATCATCTTGAAAATTAGGTTGACATACTGAACTTGTTGCGAAACTCGAACACATTTCATTTAATTTAAATCTAGGTTTACCACAGGTCATAGATAAACCTAAATTTTGTAAATGAACATCAGATGCAATATAAGAATTTGTCATTTGTTCTGCATCACACTTAGTCCACTTAAAAGAATCATCATTAGTCATTACTGACATTGGTTCTTCTTTTGATGGATTCATGTCGTCACATATAAATTCTCCTGTTTCAAAACAGACTAAAAATATATTTTTGTAATCAAGCTGCTTCTCATTTAATTATTTATATGTATATTGAAATCGAATCAATTAATATTCTAATTGAGCTGCCGGATCGAAGAAGGGCACACAACCCATTTGAATTATATTAGATATGTCCCTGCTGGAAGGGTGGTACTGGATTGGTTCTGGAAATTTGGAACTGAGGGCTCAGTACCAACTCAGTACTAATTTGGTGCATTTTGGTACTGAAATGGAACTAGGAAATTTACCTGCGAAAAGGATCGAGTTACCGTTAATACCCTCATAAAAATGAAAAGCGACTAGCTTTTTCAATATGTTTAAACTAATACTTTATATTTATTTCAATATTATATTTGTTTTTCCTAGATTTATATTATTTTCATACATTATTATGCATATGATATGTCCTTTGGCAGCTAAATTAAAAAATGATGTCCATTTTTTTGTCAAACTTAAGGTAAACGAGATAAATTATAACTTTTTTAAATGTAATTATTTTTTGATAAATTTTAGATATTCATAATCTGGAAATATTAACGAATCTCAATATATATTTTTTAAAGTTGAGTTATTAAATTATAAATTTTTTAAGCAATAAAACTCGGGTTAAAATTTGAATCCTCCAACAAAGGACCTAGGGGTCTATTGTTCAAGGAGGGATTGCAATATAATTTCCAAACTTAACAGAAATTTTCTACAAACTATTATGTTTTTTTTTTACTGTTTTACACGTATATCGTGAGAGACGGTTTGTAATCTTATATGGGCAAATCCACAGAACCGGCCGATTTCATGTTACTCACATATTTTTCTATTTTAGAAGTATTATATTAATTATTTTCATACTTCAACCATTTTGTAATATCTCTGAGAACCTATTGAAATAAGAAAATTGAATAAATGTGAACCTTCTAGTCTTTTATAAAAAACAAAATCGAATTAAGTAACTTAAAAAATGAAATTTACGGTGTTACTCCAGGTATAAATTTTAATTCTTATAGGTATAACTTGTTCGGCATAGATCCGAACAATTCCAAACTGTGGTGAATTATAGTTTACTTATTGAAGAATGTTTTGAAAGTAATAAAAAATATGTGCTCTTAAATAAAAAGAAATGATAGTCGTTGAAAGTAGCGTTACTCATTATTTTATAATAATGAAATGTCTATACATTTTTGTAAATATCTTTTGCGGCGATTATTCGATTTGAATTTTTCAAATTGGAGCTTATTGCTTGTGAACAGACGAACAAATGTATGTATCATAGAATAGAGTGCAATCAGAATTAAAGAAAATATTCCAATAATTATCACTCTATGTTTAAGCGTGAACCATTTTCAACTTAGCCTTTTTTCAGTAGCACAACTACAGGATAAAATATGATGAGTTGAAAACATGTGTGATTATATAATGACATTATTATAATTCTTGTATGCAAACGCCAAATTATATTTTCAATTTATAACGTCTAAAAATTAAAAATAAAAAAAAATTTATCGAAATTTAACTAGTTAACCCCTTCGCAGTCCAGTTAAAAATCGCTGGTGGGCCTAAAACGGTCCGAAAAAAAGTTTCCAAAAAAATATGACTTCATCACATTTAAGGTTTTTGTGGTCGCTGAATTCGAATTTGAGGTCAGTTTTTCAAAATTCAAAATGGCGGATCCAATATGGCGGACAAATTTTTAAAAAATCAATCCAATTTGCCTGAAATTTGTTACTCGGGGGTTTTTGGGGTCGCTAAATTCAAATTTGAGGTCAGTTTTTCAAAATTCAAAATGGCGGATCCAATATGGCGGACAAATTTTTAAAAAATCAAACCGATTTGCCTGAAATTTGTTACTCAGGGGTTTTTGTGGTCGCTGAATTCGAATTTTAGGTCAGTTTTTCAAAATTCAAAATGGCGGATCCAATATGGCGGACAAATTTAAAAAATTTTTTTTTTAATTTGTCCGCCATATTGGATCCGCTATTTTGAATTTCAAAAAACCGACCTCAAATTCGAATTGAGCGATCCCAAAAACCCCCGAGTAACAAATTTCAGACAAATCGGATTGATTTTTTAAAAATTTGTTCGCCATATTGGATCCACCATTTTGAATTTTGACAAACTGACCTCAAATTCGAATTCAGCGACTACAAAAACCCCCAAGTAACAAATTTCAGGCGAATCAAATTAAATTTAGTATTATTTTTTTGCGATGGCCATATATGGCCACTTGCACAAAGGTGGCACGACTTTTTCTGGCCACATATGGGCCCTGGACTGTCAAGGGGTTAATCGTGAAAAATGAATTATCCTTTCATTTGTTTTATTTTCAAAGTTATATCAAAATCGATGTCAATAATGTCAGTTTGTTGGTTAAAATAGTTAATATCAAAATTAGTAAGTAAACAATTTAATTTACAGAAATAAAAAATTAAATGCTAATAAATAAAATATATAATAAAATATGATAGAATATAAATAATTTATTTTTGATAATTAAAAAATTAATTATTTGTATTTTATCATATTTTATTATTCAAAATGTTTTGCACATATTTCAAATAATATATAAAAAAAACAAAGAAATGCCATTTTTAATTATAATTTCCAAAAGAAAAATAATATTTTCGTTTTTGGCTTTTAACTCAAACGGCATTAAAATAAGATGAATCACGCAAGAAGATAATTGTTCTTGAATATATTTTAAAGAAAGTAAACCATAAATAAAAGGTGTGCTTGCTATTTGGAAAATTTTCATCTTGATAAGTAAAAATCGGCCGGTTCTGTGGATTTGCCCATATACCTTTAAACCTATTGTTAAAGTACTTTAAAAATGTCTTCTTATGGGTTATCAGGTAGTGGTACTGAAGTGGAACTCAAGCCAAGTCCAATTCAGTACCATTCCAGTACCACTCTTTCGGTAGGGGTGCCCCTCTTTGATCTCGCAGCTCAATTAATTTTACAAAGAACTACTCGTATTATTAATTTTACAATCACATAGACTCACTGGACTGAATTGTTTACATAAATCACTATAATCAGATCCAGGAGAAAAAAATATATTAGAGTTCTCCAAAATATAAAGATTTATAAAATTTTATGGCATTTATTAATATTATCTAAAATATATTTAGCAGCTGGGTCACTCCAGCGAATATCATGTAGACTGGGTTAATGAGGCCCAGCGCCTCATATAGTCCCAATAAATAAAAATGTCTGTATTTTAAATGTGTAACGATAGAGTATCGTAGTATAGTCGCCCGGCGAAAAGAGAGAAAGTAGACAGCGTAAGTAGTAGTGTCACTCTCTTCCCCCACCACTCGCTGTCACCTAGCTGCTAGTGTTATACCTTTCGTCTCGCACCTTTTTCGTCAGTCTTCTTCCGACTCGCCTAGAGGTGCTCCTCTGACTATTGGAAGGGACTCACTCCTGGCTACCTGGTACGCTGTAGAGGTGCTCCTCTCAGAACATCAGAGCCTTCCTCACTTCCTAGAAGGAGCTGTACGTGTTCCTACAGGTGCTCCTGTGGAACAGTAACTCCTTTCGCCCTCCTTCCCATATGAACCAGGACCATCCTTGCCGAGTAGAGGCGCTCCTCTCTTGACAAAGATGATGCACTAGGCCGATTCCCCATCTCGAGGCGCTTCTCGGGTGGAGGAGACACCTAGTGAATACTACTTCGCGTCGGGCATGAATATTGGAACCGAATCCAATATCTAGCTTCTTCCCGATTACGAATAATAATCGACCTAGCGTGCACGACCCTAGTAACCGTCCGTACCGTCGTCTAGGGGTAAATTCTAGAAAGTACCCCACGCAAAAGTAATATGCGTCGTCCTGACCAACATCTTCGCGAACGTGGGAAATATGTTTAAATCGGAGCTCAGCGAACGCTCCTCTAGAATAGCTAGTTCTTTTATCGTTACGTTTTCTAGAGTTTAGTATTTTATTTGCATTGTATAGATTCTTTTGTTCTTTATTATTTTATGTAATACTTCATTTTTGTATATTTTATTATTCTTTTATTTTAACAATATATTCTCTTTCGAAGGTTTAAATAAAGACTCGTCAATGACTACACCTCTCCTCTACATCATAGTAAGAAATAGTTCCGGAATTAATCGAAACATAGATGACGCTTCACGCTATCTACCGAGACTTATTGTAAATAGTCAAAATAGGTACCCGGACTCCATCCGGCGAGCAAATCCTTTGGCACAAAAATTCAGATCATTACAAATGGAATCGAATATTTTTAATTGCGAATATTTGTACCTGATGATCTACCTGCTCTTTACAAACATGAAATGACATTTAGTCCCAATTTTAAATTTGGATCATATTAAGGCACGTTCGCTCATTTCATCAACTCATACAAATTTTGTTTCAAACATTTAACTCAAAAACATTTAAGGAGATTTATACTTTGATTATTATTAAAGAACTAGCTAAAAGAAACGCGAGTAAACACGCGTGGTGTCTATAATTTTTATGAAAAATTAAAAATTTATTTTTATTTGACGGACACTTATTGGAATTTTGATCTCACAAAAATATTTTTGTAATCGTTACTGTATTACTATTTCAACATTATGGTGTTATAATAATATAATACCACAGTCAATATGACCTTTAAATTTTGTACTCAAATAAAGATTATATGCTACGATCATCGAATTGTCAGCAATACATTTAAATGACCCATCTCAGGATAGATGCAGGGTGAATTCCTATTTTGTTTACCACAAGGCCAATGAACTTAAAATCGCTTAGCAATGTTAAAAAGTTCTGGATTCTTTATTTCGTCTGTGCTTTCAGCACATATCATTTTATTTAAAGTTTGTGAATCGCAAATTTGTGTACGTAAACATATAGTTAAACGCACATGTGGCAATCCACGCCTTTTTCTTCTCTATGAAAGACGATAAAAAAAAATTGTAAATGAATAAAATTACAAGTACCTTGAGTATCTTAAGGTTAACAGTCCATACAGGATCACCATAAGGAA